AGACTTGACTTTTTGTGATATTAGGGAACTTCATGTTACTAGGTTGAATACACTATGAAATTTATTTATGGATTGGCATTTACTCTATTTACATAAGTAATAAATTGGTAATTTGAAGAGAATAGAACCAATTCATAAAACTATAAATATACCTAGATGGACAATCAAAAAATTTGCATGAATTTTTTATTAGTGAGTGTGTGGCCTTTTACCTGGCCAATTTATTATTGATTCCTTCTTCTGTTCCACTCACATTTCCTGAAATCTTTCTTCATCCATATGTCAAGGCTGCTTATTAATCATCTTCTAGCTATTCTAAAAAATACAAAGGAAATTACACAGTGATTCTGCTCTCAAATGGTTCATAATTTCATTATAAAGATAAGATATCTGCCTGCATTCATAATTTAAATCTGTGGGATAATAAAAACAACAACAACAACAACAACAACAAAACCAACAAACCACCTTATTTGGGACTTAAAGAGCCTAGGAGAAAAGGGAAAGGTTTCCATTTCCCTTTCATACTTACAGAACTGTTAGAGGAACACACCAAGGGTAGTGGGAAGCAGGAAGTGTATCACTCTGGAACATGCAGATCTGAACTCATTGTCTAGGAAAAGGTGCCTCAGGTTTCTGACTTGACATTTTTGTTTGCATAATGGAGACACTAATATCTTATTTTTGGAGGACTTTTATGGTGGTTTAAAAAAATGCTGTTTTAAAATTAGTAAATAACACATACTCTTTAAACCATTCTGCCTTCTGGTGCACTTCTGGTGTGGAGCATACCTGCTAGGATATGAAAATTGTTGCTTACACAATTGAATAGTACTCTACTTTCTAGTCAACCATTTAAAAGTCCATGAAAAGGAGAAAAATAGTAAAATCTAAAGAGCACATGGTAAAGGCCTTTGGCCAAGTTGAAGGGCTTAGAGGGGGTCAATTAGCCATAACTAAAAGTCCCAAATTCATTGCTCCAGCTGGTTATTATTTTTGAGCTTCATTACACACATCTGACAATCAGAGGCACTTACACAGGCCTCTCAGGGCTCTCCTATGAGAGGAGGTATGGGAAAGTGTTTTATACTCCCAGGTGAAAAGAAAGAGACCTTTGGATGCAATAGATCCATAAAAGAAGCTCAGTTTCTTAAAAGTATTAATGTGGGTGTGTATGCATTATGTTCCACTAACAAATATTATTTATTAAATGCTGTTGGTTACTTTGCAACTGCAGTTATATATAGTTAATCTCCCCTCACTGAGTTTTCATGTGAAATATTCCAATAAGGAAAAAAAACATATAGAATTGACATTTTACCCATGATGAAAGTATGAGTTGATCAGCACACTCATTTACAAATTTGTCACATGTGCATACTGAAGAAATAAAATCACTAACAGTCTCTAACCACTGAATTTTCTTACTATTCTACTTTTACATCTGAAATAATGGGACATGCTCTTATTTTGGTTGAGTTAGGAAATTCTAACTTTATTGTGTTTGAGATATTTAAAGGTATTCAAAGAAATGTTGAAGAATTAAACTTAGAATTTGGTAAAAGCTTATACATTCACTTGATTTAAAATTACTAAGCTTAAAAAACACAAACAATGAAAATTCTCTTTTTGGCCAGTTTTCCTCTCCAGAGGAAACCACTGTCCTCGGTTTATTTTGTTCAATGCCAAAGACCGTACAATTTGGGATTCATAGTCTAGTACATGTCAACAGGGAAAGAGATCAAGAGTCAGGGATATAGATCATCAATGGTTTAACAATGAAAGTAGAGATACACTTGCCTTATTAAAAAAAAAAAGAACAATTTTAATGGAGGAAATTCTAAAACCTATTAACTATGTAGATAACAATTCCACAAACAGATTTCTAGACCAGACCTGTTTGACCGGTTTGGCCTCTGAGTAGCTAAGGGAAGCCAAGGAGAAGTAAGGCTCTGGCAAACAAAGTAAATATCCATTTGAAGCACAGACTTTCTGAAGAGACAGTTCAGGAAATTTAAAGGTCAGGCATACAGAAGTTGAAAAAGGAGGAAGATAGGAGGGAGGAGAGTTAAAGAGAAAAGGAGAGGGGAGGAAACCAGTGTAACGATTGCTCAGATTCATATTGAAAAATATAAGATAGTGAGTCAGTCATGCTTGAGTTTGTTTTTCTATTTCAATATTTACTATCCATGTGACTTTGGGAAAATCTTCAATGTTCCCGATTGTAAAATAGTAACCTCATTAAAAATGTTATTCATATAATATACAAAGTGCCTGGCATATATATGGTACATGGTCTCCCATGACAAATAATTTTATTTGCTATGACTATGACTAATAAAAACACAATCTTCAATCTCTGTAGAATTGAGATTCTCTAGTTAAAAGTTATTCATATAGCTTTTCTGTATGATGGGAAAAAATCTGAAACCGATTTATTTTCTTTAAATTTGAAATAAGAGATTCTTATCTTCACAACTCACAAAGAAGATATAGGTATATCATTCAAAATCAGTGTGTGTTGAAGTTAACTTAAATGACTTTTTTTAAGGACCATCAAAAATATCAAAATAAAAAATAAGGCCACTGTACTTCAGCAGAAAACTTCTGTGTAAAGATGTTGCTATTTGTATAACACCTGAATGAGAGCAATTCTAAGAATTTTAACTTTTTTCCCCCCAAGACATTTTGATCAGGGCAAACTTTATAATTACTAGTCTCTAAATTTAAATTGTGGTTATTAGTCTTGTAGGTAGATTTGATGTTCCTCTTTCCTGAACTAGCTTATTCAGTTAACTAATGTTGTTTTCTACCTCTAAGGACGGAGGCAAGTACTGCGTCCTAGAAAAGTGGCACTGGCCACCAGTGTTTCCAATGTAAGTCCTGATTTACTAAGGTGTTTTAGGCTCCTGAGCAGTTTGGAGAAACACGGCAAAATACATCTTATTGGGGGCACATTTTGCCACTCTTAAAATGTCACTATATGGCCTAAGCTTCCGGCAGCCATGAGCACTACTTGTGTCCTTGTGCTGGAATCTGCCTTGGCTAATGCCTAGCAATATTCTCAGGACTCAGTTTGAGGCCTGGCCTATGGTAAATGTCTCTGTACTAAGCAAATACCATTAAATGGCTCAGTATTAAGCAAATACCATTCAGTTAAATACACTGGAAAGAAGTTTCTTCAGGCAAGATGGGAATTGCTGCACAAGTTTCATAGAGTGTGATTAAATTAAACCATTTGTCATAGCCTCAATACCCTTGTGAGATATTGAGCTAATTCTTTAGGCTTTTGTAAATTGAGTAAATTCCCTTGTAAATATACAAGTTGGCATGCATGCCACCTGACAGTTTTTTAATCTTGGTTTCCTGAAACTTAAAAATAAAGTATATAATATATTCTACCTTAAGTGGAATTACAGATTAATCTGTGTTGAATGGTTACAAATTTCTAAATTAATGATTATATAATTTATTAATGCTCACAGCAGTCTTCTTTCTAATGATTTTTTTCTTCCCCCTCATTAAGTTAATGTTGACGCAGACATCAGTAGGAAGATAATAATGGTGAATATGTAACTTGGGCTTCAATCAGTTTCAGAAGTATTTCAGAGAACTGTACATTTCGCTTACATGTTTGCCTCTGGTTTTTAATACTCTCAGATGTTTGGGGGGTTAAATTCAATATTACAAACTTTTGTCAAGAAGCTGCTCACATTTTCATGGCACTAAATATCACAAAAAGAGTTTAACTGTATTAAATATTTTTAAATAATACATCCATTAGATGAGGAGGTTCCTCCCCCCCATAAACAGACATATAAAGACGATATTGGCCCTGGAATATAATTTCTGAACTCTTAAATTTGCATTCATATTTAATCTAATTCTTATGATCTCTTCATATTTCAGTTATATAGGGAGTTAGAGGCAGTTTTATGTAGACTGGACATAACAAGTGGTGCTTAGACACGTGAAAACTTTATCTTAATCACCTGTTCACGTCTTCCTATCTAAGATTAAAGTCAACTCTCCCGCTCCAGAAATGATTTTGCACTCACAGAAGTATTTTCTGATACAGATTATAAGAATGAAGTGATTTGCTTTATTTCATAAAGAAAATGATAAAAAAAAAACAACAAGGTGAAGAAATTGCACTCCATAGTTCCTTTGTATAGTGACATCTGCTGGGCTGCAGCCCACAGTGATTTTTAATCAAGTACCTGCTCACTTTATGGGACTGGAAGCTCATTTCCCCTGCTGTTCCAATATGTACTTCATTATGGTCGGGAGAAATAATTGTCACTTAAACATCAGAGTCAGTCCCACAGTTTAACAAGTTTACCTGAAAAGAGTTCTAGAAATATACCCCCGATGTTTAGATTTGTAAACCTCTATCCGTTGGCATGTTTCAGAACAGCCTTCTTACACAAAATTGTAATTTTTGTAATTACATTCTGGTAGTATCCTGGAGGGAAAGTATTGGCAATGAGTCAGTGTGGAGAGGTCAACAGAATTCTGCACTTTAAGGAAACACAATAGAAAACAATACCTATTAAAGAGTATAAACTTCTGTGACGAGACCGTTGGTTTAATGACAAGATTTTAGAAAATATACTGCAGGAAAAAGACAAGACTCATGCTCTTTTAAAGACGCATCTCTTTGCCTTAAAAGGATGCAGTGATCTTTTTCTGCGGAAAAAAAAAATAAAGAAGACTGCTTTGCACTTGATATTTATGGCCATCTGTCTTTCAAGAATTGCCGATAACAAACAAAAACCTTGGAGCACCTCCGGTTAAGCTGGTGATTCCACCGCGGACTGTGAAGGAGCGGAGCTGTTCCGAGATCCTCCAGCCTTCTGCAGCGCATTCCAGCTACTCCCGGCGGCGCGTCCCGCGGGCCGCCCCGCCCTCGAGGCTCCGGCCACCCTCCCGCGGGCGCGCCCTGGGTGGGGCCTCGCGGCCGCCGGCGGAGAAGCAGCGGGGCGTGCAGTGCTGCAGATGCAAGCCCGCTGGGCGGTGCGCCGGGGCCGCGGGAGCCGCGCGCCGCGTCGCTGTAATCGGACACCGAGCGCAGGTCCCCCACGCCCGGCGAGCTTCCATTCACTCCGAGGCGCTTGATTGAGCGAAGCGGAGAAGGGCTCCGGGTGCCACAGCCCCGCAACGCTGAGGATTCCTTTACAAAGAAACTCAGAGGACCGGGAAGAAAGAATTTCGCCCCTGGGACGCTCTGGAAATTCAGGTCTTCTGGGAAACGGGCTATAAACACACGCGGAGCCAAACCGGTAGCAAATTGATTTTTCCGTGTGGATCTCTTCCCACCTCGGTAAGCTGGATTCCTTATTTTCGGAATTACAGATTTACCAAAATATAACTTTTGGGTCCATGTCTCAACTTTTCACACGTCGCTGTGCTCAAGTCTACACGTTTTCTTAGGGGCACATGCAGTTTGTTAGGGAACTGTTCCCTTGCTGAGAGCCCGGCTTGGGTTGTTTCTCTAGGTTGTGACACCTGCGGAGAGTTAAAGTTGAGGATTTCAGTGACTGCTGAGGCAAAATTGCTGGAAGGACATAAAAGAGTCTGTTTCCTTCATGTTATTGGCGTTTCTATAAGAAGCGTAACAACCAGTCGAAGTGTCTGAGTTAAAGGGAAGAATTTATAACATAGGGGGTGTGAGGCATGTGTAAGACACTTGGCTCGAGTCACTTTTCTCTATGTAGGCTTGAAATCGCATTGCACTGTATCTTCGCTTTATTTGACCTGCCGTTTCATCTCTGTTCTTAGTAGTATTAATTATTATTTTGCAGTTTGTGGCATGGGTCACTTTTGGGGAGACATACCAGATAAAATACTGATAATAGCAATATGTAAAAGTGTGTAAATATTACCAGTGTCCTTAATAAAGAGACAAAGGTTAGGCATATTTATGGCTTTGTACCAGGGAGCAAATTACTAAGGGAAAGTCACTCCATAAAATCAATTTTCTTCTAAATTAATTTAGGGATGACAGGGTGAAGAGGTTGTGGAAGCAGGAAGAAACTGTTTCTTTTGAAAATTACCAACACAAACATCTCTAGGGTTTCCTCCATCTGTGGGATAAAAGAGGCACACGATTTTGTTTCCAACTCTTGTAACATGATGTACCACCTAGGAGGTCAACTTACAATTTTTGTTTAAAATGGCATGTTGAGTTTCCTTGTGATCTGTCTTCTGTAGTAATGAAGTCGTCTTTATAAATCTTAGTGGCACTTTTTATTGAATAAAATTAATGATAAGATTTTAATTAAGAAGCCACATAATATTGAAGATTAAAATTGCTGTAACTTATACAAATTGCTTTCCAGATTAAATTGTGTCATGCCATTTGAGTATCATTATGCTAGACTCAAAATGATGGGATATTTTTTATGGTCCTGAGTGTATTTTGGGTATGTGGCCACTGGAGCTCTTATAGACCTGTGGTTACACATTGCCTGATCTTCCTTGGATTTCAGATGTTAGTTAATAGCATGTATTCATTTTATAGCTACAGTTTCAAACAGTCCTTGTCTCTCTGATTTATCTTTTGGAATTTTGACAGCCACTTTCTGTGATTTATTTTAAATATGTATTGAGGGATAAGTCGTTCACTGGATTGCTCACCACTAGGTCACTCATTTGAATTTGGCACCAGTCCATGGTTACCTCATCTGCATCGTTTAACAGCTGCATGGCTATCCGTATATATTGGCTGATAACTGTTTCAAGTGATTTTAGTTTTTAGGAATTGAGCATATGTAAATGTATGTATAGAAACATCATTTTAGAGACAATTTGCTCCAAAAGAATTAATGCTATGGAAGTGAGTGGGAATTTTCATGTAGGATTTTCTTGTTACTACTGTATTTATGGTAGAAAGGAATATTTTCATCCACTAACACCTATTTGTGGATGAAACCATTCTCAAGTTATTTAAACATAATGTGATTTTTAGAGAGAAGATTAAATTGAAATACTGGGCTTTCCTTTGGTAATCAATAACCTCTTCCTGGTTGCTTCATTCTGCTTTAATATTATTAGCATTACGTTTTGGAGGATGAAATAGTTCCTATTTTGCAAACACTTCCAGACCAAATGAGATGAATCCAAATTTTCACATCTATGAAACAAAGTCACAGCACCTCCTACTGTTTGCATGACTACAAAAGTTCAGAAATGTGTTGTAAATGGGAGCTCTGTCTAGATTGCTGATTTTGTTGGTGTGGGTGTGGGTGTGGGTATGCTCCTAAAATGTGAAATGAAATATAAGAAACTTATCTTTTTTTAAGGTATTTTCCCGTGGATATTAACTAGAAAATCTGAAGAAATGGCATTCCGGGCAATTTGCATGTTGGTTGGAGTATTTGTTTGTTCTGTCTATGTAAAAGGATCTTCTCAGCCCCAAGCAAGAGTTTATTTAACATTTAATGGTAAGAAAGTTGATAAATACTCTGGGAGAATGTTATTACTTTTTTTCTTATCCAGATTAAAAAATTAAAGACAGTAAAATATTATAGAGTATTCATTAATTTAAAAAATGTTGATCGGACTGGTTTTTTGATGATGTGGTTACTTAAAATTATTGGTTAATAGACAAAAGTACTTTATTGCATTTATCTATGAAAATTCTTTAAGTATATTCTAGCTTTTTTAAAGTTTCTCCTGTGTATACATGGTGGGGGGGATGGCAAGGTGAAGGACTAAAAAAGCCTAGATGGCTGATCTTAATATTCATCTGGTTTGGTTGAGAAACACCTATGTGCTTATCCTCATCAGCAGAAAGAACTATGCTGAGCTAGATTATATATACAATCTCCCTATATAGCTCCCTATATATATATATATGGATATATATATATATATATATCCATATATATATTTAGTTTTTTCAAGTCTATCTCTGCATAAACCTCAGTGTCATTGGGCATATTTTTATTTTCATTAAAAAAAAAACATACTCTAAGACCTTCCTACAGCAGGATGTCTTTGAAACTCCATTATGTTGAATTTCAAACAGCAGTATGACTGACATCAGTCAAATGGCTCCCTCGTCCATCCATCCTCCCTCCCTCCCTCCCTCCCTCCCTCCCTCCCTCCCTCCCTCCCTCCCTCGTCACCATGTGTTTCATCCACAGTCATCATAAACTCTGGAGGAGACTTATTTAAAATTTTGAGTGTGTAAGCTTCTAATTGCTTCCCTTATCTTCTAAGCCAGGCATTACCCTTGGTTGTGAAGAAAGAAAAACAGATCCTTTGAAGTGCCCTTTTCTTTTAATTACTAAAGCATCTCACAGTCTGCTTATATCTTTTCTCCTAAATTGAGAGCTATGAAATATTTAATAACAAAAAAGGCATTAAGGTACTATTTTCTATATTTTCCTCTCTATAGGAAAGATGGAGTGCTCTCATAGATTGGGTCTCCAAACCTGTTTTCTTCATTACATAAAAATTAACCAAAATTTTTTAACCTAAACTTAATCCAATATAGGTAAATATTAAAAGCATGCATGTTACCAGGGGTATTTCATCAAGTCTATACTTGATATCACTACAATTTGTCATTTAAGGAAGTTCTGTAATATAGTCATTTAAAACCACATTTCAATGATATGTAGGACAGTAACTGCTATGCATAGAGTGACTAGAAGTTATGATGGACTTTTAAAAATACTGCATCTCTAATATTTTAAATGCTCTCAAACTCCAAACAGATTCTAGGAAAATAAGACTTACCTTAATTTATAATATGTATAGAATACAATATGATAAAATAAGCTATTGATCTGAAAGTTTTATAGTTCCTGATATTTTATTCTTTCCAAGAATCTTAATAAGAAATAATCAGCGAGATAAAATATCACTTAATTTAGACACTGTTGTAAAGAGATATATCAATAGGGAAAACACACTTAATGAAAATTCCATAATTTCTAAATTAAATACAAAATATCTCCTAGAATAAACTGTGTATTAGGTAAAGTATCATAGGAAAAGTACCTTGGGCAAAAAGAATTGCTAAAATGTTTAAATTTCAATCATAAATTTATAGTCACTTTCTTAATAGCATACCTGCTTTAGATGCCTGTTCCAAATTTCTTATTATTTAAAATTTCTCACTGATTTTATGACGGTTTATCAGAGTATAACAATGAGTATGTTACTCAGTTTCTTCCAAACTGGTTTGGTCTTGACATCAAAATATAGAATTTTGTATAGGTTTGACATATATAGAGTGGGGCAAGAATAGATTTACAGTTGTTCACATGGAAAATAATACAATAATAAATAATAATAAAAGAATAAACTTTGTTTCATATTCTTACAACTGTAGACTTACTTTTGCCCCATCCTGTATAGGAATATATATTAATTTAAATACATATAGATATGTGTTTTCTTTCATTTATTTCATATTTCCATATTTCTATAACTACTTTACAACCAAAAATCAGGACTTGGAAGAGGCATTTGAGGAAAGTGAAATAATTTCAAGTTACATCAGGCAGAGGTCTTTTGATCTGTATAGTCTCCCATAATCATGTTGCCACCTGGCTCTTTCGTCTTGAAATTTTTACTGTAACTTGGTCCTCTGCCTATCTCTTTCTGGGGGCAACTTTAGGAGAATTCTCATAGTCTTGTCTTATTGATAGTTCAACTAAGAATCACAGTTGATTTAAAGGTATGTGAAACCAGACATCCCTTCTCCCGTCCAAGTTCCATCCTTTCTTCTGGTAGTGGATGATAGACTGATAACATTTAAGAAACGATGTACAGATTTGCCATCTCTGTTGATCTAGTGCAAAGTCAGCCAGATGGTCATCAGTCCTTGGGGGGAATGTACTTCAGATGTTATTAATTAGTTGCATTTCTGCTAGTTAAATCTTGCATGTTAATAGAGACTCGTAGGTATCACATTTTGTAATTTTTATAAATATTATTTTATGCCAAATAGCTCTTCAAATGAATATAAAGTTTATGCAAATGTTTTTAAGTTGAATTTTTGATGAAAGCAAATCTACTAGTTTAACAGATTTATATTTTATAGCATTATTCCCACTGTATTCTGTATCTATAGAATCTATAAAAGTCAAATGGAAAGGTAAAGATATGTATGTACAGGAGACAAAAATTGTGGGAAAGCACTGCATTTATCCAATAGATATTTTAGATATAGTGTTTTATAAAATCAGGAGTAAATACAAAATAATTTGATAAAAGGAATCAGTTGCATGTAATTTTAATAAAAGTTTCTGAGCTTTGGAAAAATGAAAATCTATCTATGTTTGAATAGATATAAAATGTGATTACTGAGTTAAATGTATTAAATATTGTTTCTATTTAAAAATTGGAAAAGTTCTTATAATAAGATGACTTTCTCAGATAACAATTCAGATTGTAAATCTAGGATGTTCAATTTACTGACATAAAGTTATTCCTATTATCTTATTTTCCTCATTATGTCTGTAGGATCTGTAGTAATGTTCTTTAATTTTACTTCATGTCTACTTTCTTTATGTTCTGACTGATCTGTGTAGAGATCAATTTTTCCATTTTATTGATCTCTTTAAATAGTCAACTTTTGGGTCTTTTCTATTATTTTTCTTTTTAACATTTCCTTGATTTATGCTCTGAAATTTAACTATCTTATTTCTTCTTTATGTATTATTCATTCTTTTTTAACTTCTTATTATGGAGATTTAAATCAGGGTTATGAGCAATTTTTTTAAAAAATATAACTGGTTATGCTATCAGTGTCCCTTGAAACATTGCTTTAACAGTGCCCATATATTTTGGTAAATGTGTTTTGATTTTCAGTGAGTTTAATATGTCTTCTAATTCCCTCACTATGTTTTCTTTTACCCTTGGGTTATCTAGAAATATTTTTTTATAATTTATAAATAGTTGGGTATTATATCTATATCTATATCTATATGTGTATCTATCTTCTAATTTCTTGTTGTCAAAGAACATACATCATATGCTTCTAATTCTTTAAAGTCTATTTAAACTCATTTTATAACATGGAATATAGTCTATATAAAAAAAGTGTATTTTGCTTTAGCTGCAATGTTCTGTTAATACCAATTAGGTTCAATCAGTTGATGCTTTGTTATGTTCTCTATATCATTACTGATTTTCTGTCTACATGATCTTTTAATTACTGACAGAAGAAGTTGAACTCTCCAACTATAATTTTGGATTTATTTGTTTCTCTTTTCAGTTCCATCAATTTTTGCTACATGCTTTTTTATCTTTATTATTAGGTACTGACATAGTTATAAATATTATGTCTCCTGATGAATTGCCCTCTTTTTCCATTATTAAATATCCTGATTATTATTAGTAATAATCTTTATTCTGAAATGTATTATGTATGTGTATATTGCTTTTTTTGTATACTGAAAAAAAATGACAAAATTTTAGTTGTAATAAAGTAGGGTAAATGTTTACCATGATTCCTTTGGCCTCTACAATTTTTTAAAATTAAGATATTAGGAAATATATTTAAATGGACTAATTTTTGATATATGTAAATGTATGAATATTTGATTTGCAATGTGGTATAGTAAGAACAGCATTTACATAGAAACCAAAATATCAGGGTTTTTAATCTTTACTAATTGTTTACTAATTAATTCTGAAACTTTATGAGAACCTCAGTTCCCTGACCAGTTAAAAAAATTGTACAAAAATATTTCTAATACTCCTTTTTGCCCTATAATTATGTGATATTTAAGCTTAGTTTTATTTTTAAAATACTATTTCCTTCTAGAATAATCTCTTTAATACTTTGGAGAATATTTTGTGTAAATGATCCATGCAAGGGAAGAAAACGAAACAAGCCATTCTGAAAAATTCAGGGATTTTAAGTCATACAAAACCGGCTTTAAATCATGATTGTCTGCTACTTTCTGGGTATGCCACATTGGGGTAATTACTTATTCTCTCTAATGCAGAATTTTATTCTCTGTAAAATGGGAATATATACTTCATATAACTTTTTCAAAAAGTAAATGAATTAAGTTTGTAAAATGTGTTGGGGGCTATATAGAATATATCCCATTACAGCACAATACACACACTTGCATTAGAATTGGAATTTATAAATTCCTTTACAGCAGAGATATGGTTTTCAATTGCACTGTAATTACTTCCCCTCCACTTACACAGAGACTGATAATACTGCTCAATAAATGTTGAATTAACATAAATTTTAATACCCCTTACCACTATACCTTATCATTATACCTTACCACTATACCTCCCCAGCCAGTACAGCCTTGGTAAACTACAACAACCCTTTAGTGAATCTTGGATAATTTAAAACAATGACAGACAGCAGGTAGAAAGCAGCAGGTGTCCATTTCTTCATTATTGCAATAAAATAGAAAAAAACATGAGAGAGGAATTTTTGAGGATTCTATTTTTT